CTTCAGTGGGCCGCTCCCCTCCTACCTGCCTGCCTCAGCTCAGCCACTGCAGTCTCTCTGCCCATTGCTGATTAACAAATCCTATTGCAACGCTGCCACAAAAAGGAGAGCCGTGCCACCAGACTCCCTCCTCCAAGAGCCCACTGCAATCCGTAGAAGTTTGTCAGCAGTCAGGCTGGGAAGGGCCTCTCCGAGACACTAGTCCCCCTGCCCTGGAGTGTCCAGCCCAGCCCATCAGCACAAATGTCCTTAAATTAGAGCTGAGTTGCTGTGTGTGTTATCAGCAAGGATGCATGCTGCAGGCTGCTCCCAGTTTGCACCACTGCTCCGTGCAGGCGGCTCCGCTCTAAGCTGTGCCCCGGGGGTAGGACTGAGCAGGTCCAGGGAGATCAGAATTTGGGGGTTCTCCCAAATGACCATGGTGCTGAAGACTCTGAGCCAGCTCTGACCCCCTTACGGCCAGCTCCCAGGAGCAGTTCGCCAGCAGGGGTCACACACGGCAGCCCTCTGACTCTAGTGGGGTCAGGATTGGGCACAGAGCCACACTCAGCAGCTTGACCTCCCCGCTCCCCCAACAGCCAGGGTCCTGGAGATCCCATGTACCTGCCTCAGCCACCCGCCCCAGTTAGTTCCGCTCAGGGCAGGAGCAGATTGTTACACACACATGCAGGCTCTTCAGCCTTAACATTCAGCTTGTTCCGCAGTAGGCTCTCTGTCAGCCTGTGCTCTGTGGTTGGCCGGCCTGGTTTTCAGCATGCTTGCTTCGGGGGGGTGACTGCTGCAAGGAGCTTTTCCCCACTTGGGAGTGGGACAGCTCCGGCCACCTGGGCTGAATGGGAGAGTGAAGAGTGGCCGCAGGGCAAGGGGGCATGAAGGGGACGGAGATGACGGGGAAGGAAGGGAGGTATGGGAAGGCTGAAGAGGGAAAGGGGCAGGTAGGGAGGCTGAAGGGGAAGCCGGGATGTGTGCGGGGGGGGTCCCCAGCCCAGCCCGCAGGCCCTGTCTCATGCAGCATTCAGCACGCTGGCAGTCACCAGCACTTAAAATCTTTATTTCTACATAAAATGTTCATCTGTGGCTCTGTCAGCACCGAGCAAGCAAGAGACCCAGCTCAACTCGGGATGGAGGGAGGGAACAGCTTCTACTATTTCAATTGCCTTTTACGCACGCAGCTCCCCCTACACCTCCACACACAAAACAGAACCAGCAAAGTGGTTTCGATAAAATTTCAGGATCAATCAACTGGTATTTGCATGTTTGCTGGCACAACATTGACCGTTCAATACCTTTTCTGATTTCTGCACAGAGGGAAAGTGGGAAGTCAGTCTGGAAGTGACCCACTGCAAGGATAAATCATAGTAACAATTTCAAAGTAGAAATTTGAATAGTACCTCTCCTGCGGCCCCTGTTTGACAGTATCAAAGATGTGCTCTCCGAAATGCTGCTGGAGTCACAATAATCCACAGAGAGTTGTCTGTAATCCTCTGCCGACTGACTATAATTCAGTAACCTGGCCCCTGTGTTTGGAAACAGAAAAGAAGCCTGGTAAATCACCATATTCTCTTTTGACTCTAAAATTGCTGTATCCAAGTGCTCGCTTAGCCATCGCTTGGTCTTGGCTCACTTTGATCGAGTCGTCTTTGCTGTTGAATGTCTTGAGTGCTTTTCACTTCCATCAGGAAAGCATTCACCAGCCCTTAGCAGAGCTGCTTCTCTTCCCTCGTGCTTTTTAGAGCCCTACTCTGACAGAAAGTAGTCCCTACAGCCCCTTCAGCGATCCCAACCAACATGAGTCTAATGTACACATTATTTCCATCAAGTTTTAATTGAAAAGTGTCAGGAAGGTTCAGGTAGCCAAGGAACAAGTTCTAGCTATTTCTGTCCTCCAAAGTCACATGTCCGAGAGACTCCAGCTATCTCCTTCAGGAGTGCTCCACATTGAGTGCCAAGATACAGATCCACCATACAGTGCAACTGCAGCAATTCCCCAAGAATGGTGACCCAAAACATCATGAAGTTGCAGCCCCTCTCTTTGCTTCTATTATATCTTACCCCTATCCTTTTCCCGGGCCTTACAACTTGGGGTGGTAATTTTTAAAGCGGAAAAATATTCAATGAAATGCACCCTCAATAGAAAATGCACCCCAAATGTCCACACTTTAAAATAACAAAGGTACTGATATAGCAAAGCATTCAAGTAAGTGTTTAACTTTAAGAATGTGCTTAATTCTATTGAAGTCAATGAGACATAAGCATGTGCTCACATGATTTGCTGAATAGAGACAGGGCTACTTGTATGTTGTGCATAAGAGCTTGCTGAATTAGGGGCAAAACCAAGACAGAAATACACTGATATTAACTTCTGCTGAGGTGAACATCAAGATTTATTGACCTGAGAGGAAACAAAAGGACATGAAGCCGAAGTCAATATTTATCTTGCAGCAGAGTTTTACCCGGAGGGACAATAACATCTTGAAGTTCAGTTAAAGTGAATCATGAAGTCAGGATGGATTGCTGCGTACATTGTGACCAGGGATCCAAAAGGATGAACCCCGCTTGCCTTTCTCAGGTGGGTTGTCTAGTTGGCTACAGTAGGGCTGCCTCCATGGGTATGATGAGCAGAATTTGGCCTTGTTTCTTAAAAGCACTCTAGGAGTAATAAAAGTAAGAGTAAAAAAAATCTTTTTGAAAGGAAGATGTATGCTGACCTTTACTGGGCTATTCAAGAAGGAAATATGTGAATATGCTCTTGAAATGGCTTGAGCATGGATTCAGGGGAAACTATTCTTCACCTTTGAGCATTCAGTTGGAGACATAGAGTACCAAAACAATTTTTTTTTCGTACAGTGTCTTTCACGTAGACTGTTTTAAGGAGTTAAATATATGCATGCTGATCCCTTAACATTGCTCCATAGCCTTCAGATCACAGTCCTTTGAACCTGTAAGCAGTGAAAGTCTTGCTGAGTTGTCATAGATTTTTCTCCATCATACGCTCATTCAGACGCAAAGCAGTAAATATCATATTCAACTCTACATATAATTGACCCAACATAATTTGAAACAATTCACCTGGCCTGGAAGACCCTCTGAGAAGCGCAGTGTAAACCAGAATCCTTTACCTTGATGAAAATTCAGCTGGGAGGGCAATGCTGAGCTGTCAGATGCTTTCTCATGCAGCCTTTTCCTTATCACATGGCTTCTGTTCAGGTGGCTGTCTTCAGTGGCTATCTGCTCTACCTGCAAACCAATTGCACTGCAAGTCAATGTCAGCAGACCAGGGGACTTCAAACCTTCATGAGGAAGTGCTCCTTGCCCTCAGCTTGGCCTAGGCTCATCAGTGACACTGTATGTGTGTGTGTGTTAAATAAATGATACCTCCTATTGGGGATGGAAATAAACTATTTGCAAATGGACTATTGGACTATTATTAACTGGAGCTGATCAAAAAACAGGGGACATTTTATTTGAAAATCTCATTGACTTTCTCTTCCATTTTTTTCCAATCAAAATGTCAGCAAAAGTGCTCCCTGAAAATGTAAACTCTTGAAAACAATTTATCAAGCTTATTTATTACCACCACCACCTTTCAGGCTTGATTGTGCCTTTATGGCCCAGCCCCATGGCAAAGGAGGTGCAGGGAGCTCGCAGATATTGTACCTGATATTGGTAGGATGTCTTTGAGCTCGTAGAATGACATAAACCAGAGTGACAAGTGGAAACTCTTTATACAGGGGGAGCATGCTCTCCTCCCTCGTGAAGCCAGTTCCATTGGCCAGTGTGAAGTCTCACAGCCTGTGGAAAAGCTACTATCACTGTGACATTAGCCTGGAGCATGAAGTCTGGGCAATGATCCCATGGAGACTGGATTTGTATCTCTCTATGTGTGGAGGTACATTGTATGGGGAAGCCTCTTTGCCTCATCCACATGGGCACACACCCACACAAGGCCCCTGTCAACTGCTCTAGAGGCAGTCTCCCAGAGGTCCCAGCATTCTCCTAACTAGTCTCCCTCTATTCATCTCAAATTAACCCAATCCATCAATTTAACATAAAAATCAGTCAACCAGCCCTAAAACTTCAGGGCTTGCAATCTTCCTTTAGCACCCTGTCAGCCTGTCCTGAGACTCTTGCCTCTCTGCTACCCCAGGCCCTTCTGCTTCCCTATCTCACTCTGTTCTCCTTGCTTTATAGCAGGGCTTGTTTTCCTTATTGGTCCCAGCTGTGGCTGCATGCCACCATGATTGGCAATGCTGGCAGCTGTGCTGGGGAGTGGTCAGCCTGGTTGCCTGAAAGTGGGGAAGATGCTCCTCTCCCTTCTGCCTATGCCCAGATGGGGTTTGTAAACCCCAGGACAGCCACATAATCTGGTTTTGGGGAAATTAGAGCCAGATCCTACTTCCTTTACTCTCACAAGTATTCCCTCTGAAATACAGTGGGGTTACTTGGATGGGTAAATCCAGCAGGATGTAGCCCATAACCCACAGCACAGTTACTTTAAAGGTACTTAGCTAGTCTTAAAAGTCATCCAGCATTCAAGGTTTTCACCATGTTCTGGGCTGGGGCTTTTACATCTGAGAATCCTAGGAGTGGTAATATTGCAATCCTGGGATTGGGGCCATGGCATCCCAATGTTGACAATACATTGTATTCCTAAAACGTAATGGTATCTGGGTATAATTTTCAAAACTGCCTAACTCTGTGACGTAGGAGCCTAAGTCCCATTGATTTTTCAGGTGCTTTTGGAAAAATTCACCCCTGCTTCCATGGTGTCAAAAATATGTAGAAGCCTAATAGAAAAATGCAACCTAAACACTGAAGAAAGTACATGCACCATCTTCCATGGCACAAGAGTCACTCATTTCAAGCCATCACTGACTTTTCACAGGCTGTCTTGCTCTCAAATATTCTACTCTACTGTCCATACTCCCTGCCCCGCCAAAAAAAACCCAACCAGGACTACTATAGTATTGTCACTGCTGGGAAATAAAAGAGGTACTGACCTCAGTGATGCTTCCTAGCACAAATTTGACCATTCTCTGGATGTAAACACTTGCAGGAGAAGAGGAAGATTCCTTCTGGTGCACTTCACATGCCTCCAAAATGGATTCTGGGGAAAGTCTTTTATGCGGCAGATCTTCACACAGCTTTAGCAGCAGGGCATGTAACTGATCACTCAGCTGAAGGGACTGAGACAACAGGGAGATAATGGTAAATAATAGCTCTCATTTAGATAAAACACTGTAAAATGCTCCATGAACTTGGGCTGGAATTTTCTGAGGGACTTTTGAGTTTCAATGAGAATTCACTTAATTCCCTTAGCCCCTTGGGAAATCCCAGTCTAGATACATAGAGTACCACTGAAATGAAGCCACCCTGGGAAGGAGGATGTCACTGAAGGTAAATGTCAGATATTATGATTCAGAACAGTGCATCGAGGGGGAGATGTGGCTACTGACAGCCACTGTGGCTGCTCCTCAAATCTGAAGTTCAGATCATTCATTTTTAACATCTCATCCTTAAGCTGCATGGCACTCTATCTCTCAGGCCTGGTCTACACTACGAGTTTAGGTCGACTTTAGCAGCATTAAATCGAATTAAGCCTGGACACGTCCACACGATGAAGCCCTTTCTTTCGACTTAAAGGGCCCTTTAAACCGGTTTCTTTACTCCACCTCCGACGAGGGGATTAGCACTAAAATCGGCCTTTGTGGGTCAGATTTGGGGTAGAGTGGACGGAATTCGACGTTATTGGCCTCCGGGAGCTATCCCACAGTGCTTCTTTGTGACCGCTCTGGACAGCACTCTCAACTCAGATGCACTGACCAGGTAGACAGGAAAAGCCCCGCGAACTTATGAATTTCATTTCCTGTTTGCTCAGCGTGGAGAGCACAGGTGACCATGCAGAGCTCATCAGCACAGGTAACCATGATGGAGTCCCAGGATCACAAAAGAGCTCCAGCATGGACAGAACGGGAGGTATGGGATCTGCTCCCCATATGGGGAGATGAATCAGTGCTAGCTGAACTCCGTAGCAGTAAACGAAATGGCAAAATATAGGAAAAAGTCTCAAAGGCCATGAAGGACAGAGGCCATAACAGGGACGCACAGCAGTGCCGCGTGAAAATTAAGGAGCTAAGGCAAGCCTACCACAAAGCCAGAGAGGCAAACGGAACGTCTGGGGCAGAGCCGCAAACATGCCGCTTCTACGTGGAGCTGCATGCCATTCTAGGGGGTGCAGCCACCACTACCCCAACCGTGTGCTTTGACTCCGTCAATGGAGAAACACGCAATAGGGAAGCGGGTTTGGGGTACGCGGAAGATGATGATGATGATGATGAAGACAATGAAGAGAGCTCACAGAAAGGAAGCGGAGAAACCGGTTTCCCCAACAGCCAGGATATGTTTATCACCCTGGACCTGGAACCAGTAACCCCCGAACTCACCCAAGGCGTGCTCCCAGACCCTGAGGGCACACAAGGGACCTCTGGTGAGTGTACCTTTGTAAATATTACACATGGTTTAAAAGCAAGCGTGTTTAATGATTAATGATTAATTTGCCCTGGCAATCGCGGCCAGTACAGCTACTGGAAAAGTCTGTTAACGTGTATGGGGATGGAGTCGAAATCCTCCAGGGACATCTCCAGAAAGCTCTCCTTCATGTACTCCCAAAGCCTTTGCAAAAGGTTTCTGGGGAGGGCTGCCTTATCCCGTCCGCCATGGTAGGACACTTTACCACGCCAGGCCAGTAGCACGTAGTCTGGAATCATTGCATAACAAAGCATGGCAGCGGATGGTCCCGGTGTTTGCTGGCATGCAGACAACATCCATTCCTTATCTCTCTTTTTTATCCTCAGGAGAGTGATATCATTCATGGTCACCTGGTTGAAATGGGGTGATTTTATTAAGGGGACATTCGGAGGTGCCCGTTCCTGCTCGGCTGAACAGAAATATTCCCCGCTGTTAGCCATGCGGTGTGGGTGAAGTGATCATCCCAGAGAATTGGGTGTGTGTGGGGGGCGCGGGGGGTAGTTGGGTTTGTGCTGCATGTTAACCCGGAAATCCCAGCCCCTCCTTTTACATTGCAAACCCATTTTAAATGGCCAACCCAATGGGTCCTTGGTATGGGAAATGAGGGCGCTGCTGTTTGAAACCATTCCCACATGTTATGAAGGTTAAAAAAGGCAAAAGACTGTGGCTTACCATGGCTGCCTGCAAGCCGAATTCTGTTGCCTGGCACTGCGTGAGTGATCTCTCACACCAAACCGGCAGGCCCTCAATATAAGAGGAAAAATGCGACCTTGTAACGAAAGCACATGTGCTGTGTAATGTGAACAGCAAAATTTAACGTGAAAGAGTGTACCCATTGTTCTCTAAAATGTGTCTTTTTTAACCACCTCTCCCTTCTCCTCCACCAGCTGCAAATGTTTCTCCTTCGCAGAGGCTAGCGAAGATTAGAAGGAGAAAACGGCGGACTCGGGATGATATGTTCACGGAGCTCCAGATGTCCTCCCACACTGAAAGAGCACAGCAGAATGCGTGGAGGCAATCAATGTCAGAGTGCAAAAAAGCACAATATGAACGAGAGGAGAGGTGGCGGGATGAATCGCGGGCTGAACAGAGCAAGTTGCAGGCTGAAGATGATAGGTGGCATCAGCTTGCAGACAGAAGGCAAGAGTCGATGCTCCGGCTGCTGGAGCATCAAACTGATATGTTCCAGCGTATGGTTGAGCTGCAGGAAAGGCAGCAGGAGCAGAGACCGCCGCTACAGCCCCTGTGTAACCAACAGCCCTCCTCCCCAAGTCCCATTGCCTCCTCACCCAGACGCCCAAGAACACGGTGGGGGGGCCTCCGGCCACCCAGTCACTCCACCCCAGATGATTGCCCGAGCATCGGAAGGCTGGCCTTCAATAAGTGTTAAAGTTTTAAAGTTTTAAACTGCAGTGTGTCCTTTTCCTTCCCTCCTCCCCCACCCATCCCAGGCTACCTTGGCAATTATCCCCCTAGTTGTGTGATGAATTAATAAAGAATGCATGAATGAGAAGTAACAATGACTTTATTGCCTCTGCAAGCGGTGCTCGAAGGGGGGAGGGGAGGGTGGGGTGGTTGGTTTACAGGGAAGTAGAGTGAACCGGGGCGGGGGGCGAGGGGGCGGAGGGTTCATCAAGGAGAAACAAACAGAAGTTTCACACCGTAGCCTGGCCAGTCACAAAACTGGTTTTCAAAGCTTCTCTGATGCGCACCACGTCCTGCTGTACTCTTCTAACCGCCCTGGTGTCTGGCTGCGTGTAATCAGCGGCCAGGCGATTTGCCTCAACCTCCCACCCCGCCATAAATGTCTCCCCCTTACTCTCACAGATATTGTGGAGCGCACAGCAAGCAGCAATAACAATGGGGATATTGGTTTCGCTGAGGTCTATCCGAGTCAGTAAGCTGCACCAGCGCGCTTTTAAATGTCCAAATGCACATTCCACCACCATTCGGCACTTGCTCAGCCTATAGTTGAACAGGTCCTGACTACTGTCCAGGCTGCCTGTGTACGGCTTCATGAGCCATGGCATTAAGGGGTAGGCTGGGTCCCCAAGGATAACAATAGGCATTTCAACATCCCCAACGGTTATTTTCTGGTCCAGGAAGAAAGTCCCTTCCTCCAGCTTTCGAAACAGACCAGAGTGCCTGAAGACGCGAGCATCATGTACCTTTCCTGGCCATCCCATGTTGATGTTGGTGAAACGTCCCTTGTGATCCACCAGGGCTTGCAGCAGCATTGAAAAGTAACCCTTGCGGTTTATGTACTCGGTGGCTTGGTGCTCCGGTGACAAGATAGGGATATGGGTTCCGTCTATCGCCCCACCACAGTTTGGGAATCCCATTGCAGCAAAGCCATCCACTATGACCTGCACGTTTCCCAGAGTCACTACCCTTGATATCACCAGGTCTTTGATTGCCCTGGCGACTTGGATCACAGCAGCCCCCACAGTAGATTTGCCCACTCCAAATTGATTCTCGACTGACCGGTAGCTGTCTGGCATTGCAAGCTTTCACAGGGCTATCGCCACTCACTTCTCAGCTGTGAGGGCTGCTCTCATCCTGGTATTCTGGCACTTCAGGGCAGGGGAAAGCAAGTCACAAAGTTCCATGAAAGTGCCCTTACGCATGCAAAAGTTTCGCAGCCACTGGGAATCGTCCCACACCTGCAACACGATGCGGTCCCACCAGTCTGTGCTTGTTTCCCGGGCCCAGAATCGGCGTTCCATGCCATGAACCTGCCCCAGTAACACCATGATTTGCACATTGCTGGGGCCCGTACTTTGTGAGAGGTCTATGTCCATGTCAATTTCCTCATCACTCTCGTCGCCGCGCTGCAATCGCCTCCTCGGCTGGTCCTGGTTTTGCTTTGGCATCTCCTGGCTCTGCATATACTCCAGGACAATGCGCATGGTGTTCATAGTGCTCATAATTGCCGCGGTGATCTGAGCAGGCTCCATGATCCCAGTGCTATGGCGTCTGGTCTGAAAAAAGGAGCGAAACTGATGGAGGGAGGGAAGGGCGACTGACGACATGGCGTACAGGTACAGGGAATTAAAATCAACAAAGGTGGCTGTGCATCAGGGAGAAACACAAACAACTGTCACACAGAATGCCCCCCCAAAGTTTGAACTCAAAACCCTGGGTTTAGCAGGCCGTTGATTTCACGGAGGGAGGGGGAAGCAAATGAATACAGAACAAATCTGGTCCATCTATTTTTTACATCTTAAGCTGGCAGCAGACGGTGCAGCATGACTGATAGCCATCGGCATCTTCTGGGTGCTTGGCAGAAGATGCTGTACTACGACTGCTAGCCATCATCGTCAAGACGGTTCAATAGGACTGCCGGCAGAACTGAGTCTCCAGGAGACAAAACATGTCTGCCCAGGTGCCTCTGACCAAACTCACTGAGAAATACGACGACGATGGATACCAATTGTAATACACCATCTACTGCCAAAAGGCAAGGGGCTGCTGCTGTGTAGCAATGCAGTCCCACGTCTGCCAGCACCCAGATAGCTGATGAAGGCTACCAGTCATACTGCACCGTCTACTGCCAAAAGGCAATTAGCTGCTGCTGTGTAGCAATGCAGTACCACGTCTGCCGGCACCCAGATGACATATGGTGACGGTGAGCTGAGCTGAGCTGAGCGGGCTCCATGCTTGCCGTGGTATGTTGTCTGCACAGGTAACCCAGGTAAAAAGGTGCGAATCGATTGTCTGCCGTTGCTCTGACGGAGGGGGAGGGGCCTGACGACATGTACCCAGAATCCCCCGCGACACTGTTTTGCATCATCAGGCATTGGGATCTCAACCCAGAATTCCAATGGGCAGCGGAGACTGCGGGAACTGTGGGATAGCTTTGAACAAGTCATCTTCATTTGCACAGAGCTGTGTGTCCAATACTGTATACATACAGGTCACCAAAATGATGCAGATGTGACTTTCTTCAGCATAAGAACATAAAAACGGCCATATTAGGTCAGACCAATGGTCCATCTAGCCCTGTAGTCTGTCTTCCAATAGTGGCCAATGCCAGGTGCTTCAGAGGGAATGAACAGAACAGGGCAATTATTGAGTGATTCATTCCCTGTCGTCCCACTGCCAGCTTCTGGCAATCAGAGGTTTAGGGACACACAGAGCATGGGGTTGCTTCTCTGACCAGCTTGGCTAATAGCCATTGATGGACCTATCCTCCATGAGTTTACCTACCGGTAATTCTTTTTTTGAAACCAAGCTTGAAGCCCTATTTATCTTATTTCTGGTATGAAGGAAATTCCCCTCCCCTTGCCTCATGGGAGGGGCTAGGGAATCCTGACTCTTAAAAGAAAGATACAATTCAAATGCAAATCCTGGATTTGGATAATCCTAAACTTTGGCATCTGGCTCTGAACTTCCCAGCTGGTCCTGATCTCTCTAATGGGCCAAGCCAAAACACCAGCCATAAACTTCCCATCTGGACTATGGAAAGTTCAACTCATACCACCCAACTTTCCAACCTGCCAATGTGTGACAAAATAAAGGAAAACAAAGATATTGATATTACTGACCTGGTTTGGAGGAACCTGATAGTCTGCTGACCAATAGAGGGTCATTCCCAAAGAATACACCAGCATCTGGCAAACAAGAACACCCAACCAACCAGTTATGAATTATATGTCAATAATTACAGAGAACTCACCTGGCAATGAGATCTCTGAAGCCGTGAGCCGTGATTGGGACTTTTAAAGCTGGACTGGATAGAGCACATGTACATGTACAATGGGACACAGCCCTGACTAGCAGAGAGATGGAATAGGTGGGACATAATAGATCTTCAGCTCTATGGGCCAGATTGTCTCCTATGCATGAAAACATATGCTGGGGATGGTTTGACAGGCTGGCGAGCCAGCAGCTGACCCATGCTCTGGTCACTTAGGCACTAACTAGTTCCCCAGAGAAGTCCTGACTGAGGGGAGGAAGACAATTACCTAATCAAACCGTGGGCTGATGTGCTCAGGGGCTACTTATCCCAACAGCTGAGAAGGTGGTTGTAAAGCACAAGAAGGAAGTGCAAAGGAAAGAGAGGGGCTAACAGGGGAAGCCAGGCCTGTGGCTAATGAGACTGCTTCCTCTCCTTGAAGACAGCGCTGAGGATTACAGTGCTGCACTAGGACTGTGATGGCAGCATGGTGGTAGGAGCATCAAAAAACACTCACAGAGGGGTTGGCAATCAAGAGACATCCAAGAGTGTTTGTGAGTGATCCCAAGGCAGGAAAGGAGCCTCTGCACACCAGCTGGGGTCGCGAGCCACAGGGGTGCATAGATGCTGTTCGCCTTCCCCTGGCTGGTGGGATTCCTGGAGCACAGCACTGTCAGCGTCCCTCACCATAGCATCGGCCAGGACAAGATCTGGTGCATATTCCTGTCTTTGGAGTTAGGCCCCCACCCGCCAGGGAGCAATGCTGCTCTACAGCTTGCACAGGAGAAAGTGGGTCCGTTCACCACTCTTTCTGTCCTTGCATAGCGGAAGATCTGGTCCCCATTGCTATATGTCTTTTTCCTCAGCTCTGCCATGGCCATTTCCTGCACTTCTAGCATCCTGAGGAGGTTTCCGTTCTGTTTTGCAGCCCTGACGTTATCCCTGTTTATTACCAGCTGTGATTCCATTTGCCAGCAGGCTGTCACAAGAACAAACCCGGTAAAGATGTCTATTAAAATGTTTATTAGCCCCATCTGCTTCAGAGGGCCGGAGCTCAGTTTGCAAATCACCCCAGCAGAGCAAAGCTGCCAGAGACACCCATTTTGCAGGGTGTCTATTCAACAGTTATTAAGCAAAATCCGTTTGGAAGATTAGCACGTTCCTGTCTCATGTTTATACAGACAAGCTGCTTTCAATTAGCCAGGTTTCATATAGTCATTGATTTAATAGGGGGATTTGACTTTAAGAGACCATTCCTCTCTAGCCTTACTCTAGGATCCCTCTTTGACATGGAAGGATGGGAACCCAATCCATGCAGAAGCCCTATACCTCCACCTAATGGCTCCTGGCCCCCCACAGCTCTGCCCAGCTCCCAGACAGCCCAGATCCAATGAAGCCAGTGGCTGTCTCTGGGACCCCCTTTTGAGCAGAGAGGTGCCTCAACTAGAACAGTCCTACAGTTTCTGACCCACACTGAATTAGCCCATCCTGCCATCAGCCCTCCTGCTCTTTCTATATACCCCAAAATGGCAGGGGGTCCTCTGTGGTAGAGAGTGCTGAGGAATAGGCTATCCATCCAACAGGGAGAGGTGAGATAGGCATGGAAGGACCCTCTGGATGTGAATCAAGGGAGCACTATCCGCCCACAGTATCTGGCATTAAAATGACCTTATTAGATAAAAGTCTTTTTTTTAAATGTTCTCTTCACAATGTGTGTGTGGGGTGACTGGAAGTGTGGGGGGGTCACTTCTCAGATGGGATGAGGTGGCTGGTGCAAATCACTTTGGCCCATTTCCACCAGACTCGTGGGGCCGTGGGATGATATTTGAGATTGCAGTAGAATCCCAAATGCCCCTTGATTTCAGGGGGGTTCTAGGTTCCAGGCAAACCTTTCTCGCAGCCTTAACTACAGTCTAACTTGGTTTTGTTCGCTGCCGTTGTGAGAGGGAGTCTGATGTTAGATGCTGGGTCTGTTGTGCTGACACATTTGGACCTGGGTATTTTGCCTAACAAACTCCAAGGTACAATCAGGCTGTTCAAAAACCCTCACCTTTGTCAATCCAACATGCTTGTTTTTACTCTGTCCATGGAGCAGTTCTGGTGCTCTGAAAGGGGCAGCCTCTTGGTGAGACACATTGTCTTGGAAAGACAATCTTCCTCTGGCTGAAAGTACCATTGACCATGGGCAAATCACATGGATAAGTGGATCTGAAAAACAGGATCAGCAGGAAAGCAGGGTTAATATTCAGAGGGGTAGGAAAAACTAGCATAAGTTTCAGAGGGGTAGCCGCGTTAGTCTGGATCTGTAAAAGCAGCAAAGAGTCCTGTGGCACCTTATAGACTAACAGACATATTGGAGCATGAGCTTTCGTGGGTGAATACCCACTTCGTCAGATGCATGTAGTGGAAATTTCCAGAGGCAGGTATAAATATGCAAGCAAGAGTGAGTCAGGCTAGAGATAACGAGGTTAGTTCAATCAGGGGGGATGAGGCCCTCTTCTAGCGGTTGAGGTGTGAACACCAAGGGACGAGAAACGGCTTTTGTAGTTGGCTAGCCATTCACAGTCTTTGTTTAATCCTGAGCTGATGGTGTCAAATTTGCAGATGAACTGAAGCTCAGCAGTTTCTCTTTGAAGTCTGGTCCTGAAGTTTTTTTGCTGCAGGATGGCTACCTTTAAATCTGCTATTGTGTGTCCAGGGAGATTGAAGTGTTCTCCTACAGGTTTTTGTATATTGCCATTCCTAATATCTGATTTGTGTCCATTTATCCTTCAATCTCCCTGGACACACAATACGTCTGTTAGTCTGTAAGGTGCCACAAGACTCTTTGCAGGGTTAATATTGTTCAATTCACTCTGCTAGGACAATGAGCTTCTGAGGCTGTAGCATCAAACTCATGTGGACAAATTCACCCATGGCCTGGCCAGGAGAACTAAATTGTGCCAGGGCTGATTTTGTCACATGGACGCTCAGAGATCTGATTTTTGTCTCATGTACACCACTTTTACATCTATATAACCCCACTGACTTCAGTGGAGCTATTCCTGATTAACACCAGTGCACATGAGAGGAGAATCAAGTTAGTAACACGTGCAAACTGTCTGAACTCTACCAAGACATCTAATTTGTGATTCTTACTAGGCCTTGTGGGTCAAAACACATGAGGCTACCTGGCAAGTAGGGGTCATCTGCTAGTAAAGCATTAATTTTCAGAGGCCTAAGAGAGGTAAGCACCCAACTCCCATGAATTTCACCACCAGGATACTGAGCTTCGCCATTTGCTGGGCCACTTTTTTGCTCTACGCTGTCGCTCCACAGTCAACCAGCTCTGCATGTAACCCTACATCTTACAATAGTAACCCTGCAGTTGTTGACCAATTACTATCAGATACTATTGTGCTTTTTAAATGGAAACTCCAGATCCAAACCACCCCGCATGAACTTTGGGGAAGTTTTTATCTGTATCCTAGTTTCACAATTGCCCCATAAAATGGGTCAAACCAAACACTTGGATCCAAATCCCTGCTACTCTAGGTACGTTTGTATTCAGGTTTTGTGGCTCAGCCTTCTCTCTGCTTTATATACATAGCATATTTCAACCCAAAGGATCCGAAAGCACTTTACAATGGAAAATTAGGCTCCCAAATCCATATTTAGGCATCTAAATAACTAGCCGAACTGCAGAGCAACCAACAGCTCCCTCTGGAGTCAATGCTGAGTTTTGCTGAAGTGTAGCCCACTCTGGCATGAAAATGGAGTGTATTCAACCAACCCATACACAACATGATGCAAAACAGAGTGTGTATGTGTGTCCATCCGTCCATGTGAGTTTGACCAAACACAGCAAAGAGGATGGGTTCAAATGTCCATAAACACAAGACAGGGCTTTGTCAAAAAGACCCATACAGACTCAAGTTGGTTTATTTCCATTCGAAAGAAGAAGGACTGAGTTGACTCTTGTAGTATTTGTACTTGGGACTCCTGGCCATGTACGTAATAGAAACAGGAGACTTGGGCTACTAAGCCATTCCCTCCAGCCTAGACCATGTAGCAGGCACAAGGGTCTCGAAAGGATAAAAGCTAGGGTGTAAACTCTACATGACTCTATCTTTTGGCATTTTGACAAAAAGATTAATCATCTTCAATTTACACCTGAAACATGGCTTGCGCGTCCCAGACATGAGGACAAGGAAGGAAAGGTTAAGGAGTCATACAGCCACAGGGATATAGCCAAAGCAGCTATACACTCAATACCAGTGGCAAGTTCGTAACAGCTTGGGCATTTCTTAACTTAAAAAATTAAAGGCCTTTAAAATAATAATAATCAATTAACCCTGTCCCCATCTCCTTTCTCTCTCCGTAGCACTGTATCAGAAAGCAATTATTGTTTGTAGGGAAGCTTGTTTGTTTTATCATTTTAGTTAAAACCAGAGTCATTCAAGAGACTTAATAACGCCTCAAAATGTTGCATTCGCTTGGCATGACCAATACCTAAAATGTAAGTGACAGAATACTCAGCCTTGCACCAACCTAGACTTCTGCTGCTTCCTGTTCCCCTTCGTCGTGACCTGCCTCACTATTCTAAGCCCATCTGCTTATCACCAAGAAAAATAAAAGCCTCCTACTAGCTGAATGGGTAGCCACCTGAATTTGTCTTGTCTCCCCTTATTGCCAACACAGGAATGTTAGTTACACACTTTGATGGCCTTGCACTTTGTGTCGTTGTAGCAGGGTGTGCCAGCTTTTTAACACAGGACTGGAAGAAACTTCCTGGAAGGGACTTCAAATCCCCTGCTGTCACAGACAACTCCACCATAAAGAATACCTGTGGGACCCTAGGCAGAGGACGTGACCTCAGAGCAGCAATTTAGGGCTTGGGCAAAAAATCGAGGCCACTATCTTGTAATGAACTCCCTGCTGGTGTCCAAGCAGATTACATAGACATAGCTGTCACATTTAAAAACGTCTCAGTCTGTTTTGAAGGATCCTGTCTTTCCCATCACTGCTCTCTGTCTTGATAATGGGGAATCCCAGGAGTCCTTCAGAACAATATGAATGTTCCAGGGTGACCAGTGTAGGCAGGTAGATGGACAGCTACCAAAACATAACCATCCACTCACCTTTGGGCAGGTCCTGGAGAAGATTTTCTGCGCCCAGATGTAAGAGAGCCCATATATCTTCCTCCTCCAAAGGGCTTCCCTTCAGCTGCAGGACCTCAGCCAGAGTCACACAGGAACTGCTCATCCTTGCTACAATAGAAACCAGACAGCTAGAGCAGACTGAACTGTTCAGAACAAATCACATTCATTGCACATTTATCCCCTTTTCAGGGTAGCTAACCGTTCATGAACCTGATTTCTTAGGCCTTAGGCAGCATCAATGGATTGTTTGGGGCAAACGATTTCCATCTACCAGATTTTTTGTGGAAGTGGCTGGTATGATTATGCATTATTCAGGATGCATGAGTGGTCACCTGAATCATATGGCATCATTTCTGCTGCCTGATTGGATGACTTACACTTTCTAAATAGGAGGCATGGCTGAACAAAGCATTGCTGTTGTGATTTTCCCCAGGGTGGTGGATGGGCGAAGGAGGGAGCATCTGAGAGTGAGAAAGAGCTGGAGAAGAAAGAGATGTCATGAGACAAGAAGGTCTATTAAATGTATGACATTTAAAATCCTGTCCTTGTGCTTTTTTGCACAAGAAAGAGCATAATATCTGGCTATCTACATGGACCCAAGATTAAAGAAATACCTGCGTTCCTTCCTGGTGAAGGAGAGGTGAACATAAGAACGGCCATACTGGATCAGACCAATGGTTCATCTAGCCCAGTAGCCTGTCTTCTGATAGTGGCCAATGCCAAGAGGGAATGAACAGAATAGGCAATCATTGAGTGATCCATCCCTTGTCGTCCACTCCCAGCTTCTGGCAATCATAGGCTAAGAACAGTCAGAGCATGGGGTTGCATCCCTGACCATCTTGGCTAATAGCCATTGATGGACCTATCCTTATGAACTTTTTTGTACTCTATTATAGTTTTGGCCTTCACAACATCCCCTGGCAATGAGTTCCGCAAGTTGCCTGAGCATTGTGTGAAGAAGTACTTCCTTTTGTTTGTTTCAAACCAGCTGCCTATTAATTTCATTGATGACCTCTGGTTCTTGTGTTATGAGATGGGGTAAATAACACTTCCTTATTCACTTTCTCCACGAGTCACAATTTTATAGACCTCTCTCACATCCCCTCTTCGTCGTCTCTTCTCCAGACTGAAAAGTTCCAGTCTTATTAATCTCTCCTCATATGGAAGCCATTCCATACCCTTAATCATTTTTGCTGTACCTTTTCCAGTTCTAATATATCTTTTTTGAGATGGGACGACCACATCTGCATGCAGCATTCAAGATGTGGCCATACCATGGATTTATATAGAGGCAATATGATATTTTCTGTCTTATTATCTGTCTCTTTCTTAACGATTCCCAACATTCTGTTAGCTTTTTTGACTGCCGCTGCACACCGAGCGCATGTTTTCAGAGAACTATCCACAGTGACACCAAGGTCTCTTTCTTGAATGGTAACAGCTAGTTTAGACTTCAACACTATCGATGCTGGTGAGGCAGATCTCCTATTACCTTGAAAGCTGTGTTTTTCCCTCCCTCTCCCCTCGGAAGATTGAACCGAGAAGGGTTTGGAGGCTCTCAACGATTCAGCAGCTGATGAAAACTGAGGTCTGGAGCTCAGGGTGGACATAGCTCAAGAGTTTCATTCACCTTCACCAAGCGAGACCCCGTGGCACAGGGTTCCAGATCTAATGCCCACATGGACAGAGCTGCCTTATGGTCCTTGTGTCAGCAAACTCTGAGCACCCTTGGACGTGAGATCACTGCTTGAGGGTCACCAGAAGTGAGTCTAGCTGGACAATCACTCAAAGGAGAAAGAACAGTTACTTACCCTCCTCCTGTGGGCCTTTGAAATGTGTTGTCTATATCAGAGGTTCTCAAACTGTGGTCCGCGGGATAGTCCCTTCTAAGGTGTGCGCCTGGGCGGCCGCACACAAGAGACTGAAGGGCCACCCACCTAATTAGTGAAGCCGTGCAGGTGTGGCTCCACTAATTAGGTGCCTGGACCCTGGAGAAAACACACATGTAAGGTGAGGTGGTGGCCTTGGGGAGAATAGGAGACAGGTGGGAGGGGGCAGTGGGGTCAGAAGAGGGGGTGGAGGCAATTTGGGACGTGCAGGGCTGTGGCGGCCAGAGAAAGAGGGAACTTTCCCCAGCTCCAGGGCTGCGGCTGCCGGGGGAGAGACAGCCCTCCTTCCCAGACTCAGTCATGCCGTCCTTCCCAGACTGCTATGGCGGGGGAAATACCCCCGTCCTTCCCAGCCCCAGCTCGGGGGCTGCCGCATCGGGGGAGAGAGAGAGAGAGCTACCCCCTCTTTCCCAGACCCAGCTCAGGAGCCGCCACAGGAGGGGAAAGAGGGCACATCCATCGCATTAGAAAGGTAAGACTACTGATAGTAAAATATGAGTTGTGTGCTTTTATTTGTGGAACAAAAAAATGTTAATTATTATTATAGTGCTTTTATCCAAAGCGCTTTACAATAGTTAGCTAATGGTACAAACAACATTTGGAAAGATCATTAAGTGATTCACCCAGACCCTCAGCAATTTTCAAGTGGTCCACTAAAAAAAAAGTTTGAGAACCACTGGTCTAGATGGATTCCACAACCTGCCTTTCTTCCCTGCTGCTGCGAAGTCCTATATCATCTGGAATCTGGAAGGAACTGCAGGGTGATTGCAGCCACCCTGCCCTTTATGCCCTCAGCTACAGGGCGCCACAAAGTATTTGGGGCACAGGCCCAGCCCCAACAGACACTGCTATTCCAAAGAATCTGATCTCACACATGTGCGCCAGCAGTAGAATACCTGTGGACAGTCACTCAAGGAAGTAGTCAAGGTTGCCCGTGCAACCTTAATTCTGCCCCCTGTACATAGGCATCATTACCACACAGGCTCTAATTACATACTGAGCATGTACTATTCCTTAAACAATATAAATGCATGCAATTTTTTTCTACAGTTGTCAATACATGTATGTATCATTTTGTGGCACTATTCAGCGCAGACCAGACAGTCATTTACATACAAGATGCACCTTACAAGGTTGTAACAACCCCTAGATGATCACAGTGAATTATCTCCCCTGTGAAGCCTGGCTTCATTCAGTAATACACCTCACAAGAAGTTCACTCCACAGTTCTTAGTCACACACAGCCTATCTTCCTTCCAGAGGCAGCTTAACAAATAGGGAATGGCCTTCAATAATGCACTCCTCATATCTTTCCGGGAATTACTTTTCCTTGTATACCAGTTATACACTTCTTCTTTGGCCCCAAAACATGTAAGTTACACCTGTGTACACTCACTTGTTCTCAATGGGCCAAATTCAGAGCTGCTGTGTAAGAGAAGGTAAATTACATTGATAAGCAGATGTTAGTCTAAGTGAGTCTAACTTACATTTTATGGTGTCAAAAGATGGTATGAATTACCTCAGTTTAGAGTCCTTTATAATCATTTACATTGAGATTCACCTTTGAATATACCCTGAAGTTTTTAATACCCTTCCAGCTCAGACTTTCTCTTAAAAACAAGCAGACGTACAAAAATTCACATTAGACATTCTAATCAACACCTTAACTCTAACTCTTAAGATATAACTATCAAGAGTCATAGCATTTCAGTTTATAGATTATACACAGACAGTTAAAAAAGGTTTAAAACTAAAATTACAGCCTATTAAGTGCAAATAAATCCACAGTAATTATAACTGCCTCGCACCAAACTACATATGGAAGTCTATGGCATACATGTACTTTGTTGAAATACATTTCAAGGTCTACTGCAGAATACTAACATTGCAATTATTTTGACATTACACAAAGAACACTATTGTGTATCTAATATTGGTATGTAACTAAGACAAATCTTTCTATAGTACATCTTCGGCTATACATATACACCCTATACAGTGTATATGTATATATATCTTCTGCTAAAATTACTCCCAATACTGGTTTTATTCATTGTCCTTATGTAAGTTGTGCCTTATAGCATACCATAAATATCAAAAAAATTGTTGGACAATTGTATTACATAGCAAGATTACAAGGAAGGAAGAATTAAGGTTGCTCTTAAAATGTTTAATGTGACTTTTCACATTTATCTATTTTGAAGTGTATGGGCATGAGAATTTTTAGGCCTGATTCCGGTTTCACTGATTCCAGTTTTACCTTTGTGTAACTCCATTGACTTCTGTAAAGTTGCTCCTGATTTTTACCAATGTAAGTGAGAGCAGAATTAGACTCTTTTGCCTTCTGACACCAATCTTAACATCCAATTCACGTGCACACATGAACATTATAAGAAAAGAGAATTTCTTTAGGGCAGATTCTGCCACTCATACTCATGTTGAGCAGCACCCTCTTTAGAAACAATAATTGGACTACTCATGCTACATAGTGTGAGTAAGGGGAGCAGAATTTGGCCCTTAGCGACCCACACCTAAATAACCTTAACTCTGCCCCTGTGTTCTGCTAATCTTTTTCTGTGCCTTTTAAATATGAATTTTGGGGAATGCAGTAAATGCCTATATTTTCCACATGGAGAATTGAAAATGTGATAGATAGAACTTATTTGCATAACTGAGATTATACAGTATATTAAGTGTGATCATTTGTTATGATACTACCAGCTGATGTTTTAGCATAAAGGACAGAATATTATGCTCCTACATAGGAGTTAGGAGTAGGATATGATTTCATTACACATTAGCTTTGTGTCTCATGATATGGGTACATGGCATTGTTTGGCCAAGTGGGAAAACACTACTGATGGCATGGTATTCAGATAGTCTGGAACTGTTAACATAGCTTTGTTTTCTCAGACTGTATATAGTTGCATAGAAGCACACACTTTGCATGCATAAGCGTGAGGTGTTAACTCTGCATGCACAGCTACGAGAGCAAGTTTTGCAGGCTATACATGCCTTATGTGTGCCACTGAGCGTGGTTCCATGGGGCTCCGAGCACATTGTCCTATGTGAGTCGGATATAGGAACTACCATTCTGGCAAAGGCTGGTGGTGCATCTAGTCTGCTGTCCTGTCTTGCCAGTGGACAACATCAGATTCTTAAGAGGAAAGTGCAAGAAACTCCACAGTGGACAATCACTACAGGGGCAGTTTCT